CCTGCTAGTTTGATTTTGAACTAAATCGAACAGCCTTATCAAACTGGTTTTTACTTAAAGCAATGTGAAATATATTTATCTGTGATAGATATAGATCCTTTGTGAAACTTGGCTGGTTTTAACTCTCCAACAAAGTATCTTAACAGTTTTCTATTTGTTGCCCTTAATAGCTATTACCTGTTTTTTTTTCTTTCTTTAAATAGTGGAATGAGGTCGAAACATTGCAGTGCATGTAACAAGTGTGTTGGTGATTTTGACCACCACTGCAAATGGTTGAACAACTGTGTTGGAGGAAGAAATTACAAGTATGAATTTTGAAACTAATAGATTCTCGTTCGTGTACTTGATCTTTTATAAGTTCGACGACATTGCGTTTGGCTATTTAATTAGTGTGATATTATTTTGCATAGGCCATAGAATGATGCTTTTTTCAGGTATAACATACTGTTTTCAATATTTCTTTCAAATCAAAACAATTTATAGGACATTTTTTCTTTCTTTGGCAGTTTCTGTTCTTAAAACTGTCACTGGTGATAACTGTTAGCTGAAAATAATTTGATAAAAATATTTTGGAAAAGAAAATTTTTTTTGCTTTTTAGGTGATCAATTGATGTATAACGTTACTAATTACCATAAGCTCCTTTACATCACTTATAACGAGGCTAAGTCCGGGCTCAGTTTTTTTTTTTGTCTTGTTTTGTGTATTATTCTCACTTCAATTATAGTTCAGCCCTCATTAACAACACAAATATCAAAACCTGAATAAATCCTTTAAGAAGTTTATTTAAAAAAAACTTGTAGCACCAACTTCAATTATTTTCAGGGTTATGCTAATGTCATGTACTACCAAGATATATACAAGTCCCATTTTTACAGTAATTTTTGTTTCATTGGGATGTCATTAAAGTAGCAAGAGCTCATAGAAATGAACCTGTTGCGACTTTATGTCACGATGTCGACATTTTGAACAGCTGTAAGGGTAGATCTTACAAAAATCATGGCAGTGCATAAGTTTTGTATCAACCTCTATATACTTTTCAATTCTTTGACAAATTTTGAGCAATGGCTGCAGACGAATCCCTGTACTTACTTCAATTCTAACAGACAAAGAGACAGATTAAGAACAATTTCCCATTTAGCCATAAATAATTATTTCTCTTCGAGTGTAATTACAACTTGAAAGGTGAAATTTCTTTAAACAACGTTGTATAATCATTTTTGTAGATAGCGTTTTTTGTCTTCAGAACATTTTGTTGTGTTTTTGTATAGAGTCTTCCTCTTCTGTGTTGGCTCCGGATTAGTAGGAAGCCTTATAGTGTTGGTATTGTGTTTGGTTTTAACAGTGGCGTACTTTGATGAATACAGTTGGATCAATAATACTGAACCCTGTAAGTTATTTTCTGTAAATTTTTTGTTTGTTTATAGTTAACTTGTGTGTTTTATTTGATATCTGGCTGACTGATTCTCAGCATCCACTTCCATGAAAGGTAGTAAATTTAATTAGGTGAAACCTTTATGACCGTTAAGCCTAACTTGTGTAGCATGATACTGTTACCATTTTTTTTATATTTATAAAGTTTCTCTTTCAGGTATTTATTTATTTTAGCATTCAGGTGTTTCAATGCTACTAAATTATACAGTATACTCCAAAAGTATATAGAGGTTTTTTTTGATGATGTTTGAAGAAATGTATTTAAACAGCTAATAGGCTTTACAAAGCAGTAATATTAAGATGGTAGTATTGTTACTCGGATATTATTAATGTGATGAGTAGGAATGTATATATGTTGATAGATTATGTGTTAGTCATGTACTGACTCTGTTTATAGTTTTATAAATCACTATTTGGTCGTGGAAATAGATATTACATTAAGCCTAACTTGTGTAGCATGATCCTGTTACTAAGCGTAGAGATTTTAGTGAAACAAAAATGAAATTAGTTTGAGGCTACAGTTAATTATGGTTGTGTATGTAGTGGTTTCTTCTGCTCTTTATCATCTGCTGTTGATAGGTTTGAATTATGATTTCCTTAATCCTATTTTTGTGTTTGAAACTTCTGTTAAGTTTTAACACCATCTGGTGCATAAAGTCGTAATTAATAATACTGCGTTTGGTTGTCAGTTAGCATTCTGTTTTACAGTAAAGTTTTTTAATTATTTTCTAATCAGGTAATACATTTAGCAGTGTTTTTTAGATTTAACAGCAGCTAGGTGATAAAGAGATTGAAACTGCAACAAAACCAGCGTAATGCCAGAATATCTGTCATGTTTAGAAGATTTTCCACGTCTACACGATTACAGTTGATTAACAGTTCTTCTGTTTTGTTTTTATCTGTAAGCGAACGGGTCTAGCAGTAACTCTGACTTTCAACCAGTCTCTACCATGCCCACAAGTTTTATTCCCTCAAACTCTACATTTTATTCCACTAACATCACTTCAGGTATTTGGAAACTGTGTTCTATCTCGCTATATAAGTTTTAATATTTCTACTTCGATATATTTCACGGTCCCAGAAAAAATTTAACATTGCTGGCTAAACGATAAAATGTCGGCAAACAAATAATATCCGTGTACAAGATCAGGTAACCAAGTGACTGTATAAACACAGTAGGAACGTATTTCCTTTTCAATACAAAAAATAATATAAAAGCACAAGTTGAACGTTTATTTCTTTATAGGAAAACGAAGTGCCAAATCATGAACTTATACAAGTATTTCAGAAGTTTTGAATTTTTTTATGTAAGATCATTTTACCTTGAGCATATGATGATGTCAACAGTTCATGTTTTTAGTCATTAGCTATAAAAAGATGGAAATGATAAGCATTGAGTAATTCAACTAAAGAAGACTGTGGTTGGGTTTTTATGTAGTATTAAGAGGAAACACTTGTAAAAGTGTTGTGAGTGTATAATGAACTTTTTTAATGCCCCCTAATCCCCACTTCAAAGCAGAGTGGGGCATATTGGTTTGTCAGACATGTTGACAGATGTGGTGATTTAGTTAACCTCTCACTCATGAGATGTTGACAGATGTGGTGATTTAGTTAACCTCTCACTCATGAGATGCTGGCAGATGTGGTGATTTAGTTAACCTCTCACTCATGAGATGTTGGCAGATGTGGTGATTTAGTTAACCTCTCACTCATGAGATGTTGGCAGATGTGGTAATTTGGTTAACATCTCACTCATGAGATGTTGACAGATGTGGTGATTTAGTTAACCTCTCATTTGAGAGATGTTGACAGACATGGTGATATATTTAACTCACTTGTGATATGTTGATAGATGTGGTGATTTTGTTAACATGTCACTTGTGAGATGTTGACTGACTGGTGACTTAGTTAACATCTCACTGGATGGACTTGTTGTTTAATTTACCTCTCAGTTGAGAGATGTGTATTAGCTGGGCCAGGATGAGTTGTTAACACATTAAATGATAGAGTTGAAGCTATATAATTATCACTAAACATCCTGGCATTAGTATACGAGGCTTTAAGTTGTTGCTACAGGCATCGAGAGAAAAATACCGTATATTATTACTGTAGATTATAAACTAAGATGTGTTCTTGACTTACTGCAGTTGTAATAAATGAATTGTTGCATTAAATGACACTGTTCTGACAAGCTTTGTACAATATTATGTGCTGATATTAGTGAAATAATTGTTTCTTTCAGGATACACGTTTTATGTGTTCGTTCCTGTGGAGAAAAACGTGTGGTTAGCTGTAGTCATTTGTAGTGAAGCCCTGGCTCTTCTTGCTGTTGGCCTTCTAGGTCATCTTTTGGCATTTCACGCCTACTTGTGTAAGATGGTGATGCTTTTGTTTTAGTACTCCTTAACTTGTTTCTAACCTTAGTTTTAAGTGGTACATCATAATTATTTACAGCCTTCTAGGTCATCTTTTGGCATTTCACGCCTACTTGTGTAAGATGGTGATGCTTTTGTTTTAGTACTCCTTAACCTGTTTCTAACCTTAGTTTTAAGTGGTACATCATAATTATTTACAGCCGTAACATCTATCGTTACACCCTTAACCTGTTTCTGACCTTAGTTTTAAGTGATATATCATAATTATTTACAGCCATAACATCTATCGTAACATCCTTAATCTGTTTCTAAACTTAGTTTTAAGTGATACGTCATAATTATTTACAACCGTAACATCTATCGTCACATCCTTAATCTGTTTCTAAACTTAGTTTTAAGTGATACGTCATAATTATTTACAGCCGTAACATCTATCGTTACATCCTTAATCTGTTTCTAACCTTAGTTTTAAGTGATACGTCATAATTATTTACAGCTGTAACATCTATCGTCACATCCTTAATCTGTTTCTAAACTTAGTTTTAAGTGATACGTCATAATTATTTACAGCCGTAACATCTATCATTACATCCTTAATCTGTTTCTAACCTCAGTTTTAAATTATATGTTATAGATTATTTACAGCTGTAACGTCTATCCTTATGGTAATATGTTTTATTTTACTCAATATAGTAATTTATAGATTCTGTATAAAGTATTTATTTAATAATTTATATTCATATCACCATGAGTCATTGTTAAAAATGTTGTTCATGATATAAATGTATTACATTGTGCTATCTTTCGTTGAATTTACCAACAGTTTACCGTGGTCTTTCTACGTACGACTATATTACTCAGAGAAGAGACAAACCTGGCATGCAGGATCAACATGTTGTTTCCCATTCAGAAGTTTTCAATTCTACCGTGATGTTGAAGAATTGTCCACAGTGCTTCAAGCACTTTCTGCCAAAAAAGGTTATTTTGTAAAAAAAACAAAACACTTTGTTACTTAAATGTTCTGAAGTTATTTTAAAGAAATGTCATGTGAATGTTGGATTTAGGAAAGAGCTGTAATCCACTTAAGGCAGGCCTCAACAAATATTTTCAGATCTAGGAGCCAGCCCAAAAACTCATGAGCCAGGTGTGCCTAACCTAACTTCAACGCTGTTTGTACTGGGAAATGGGGGCTACACCAGTGCCTCGATTATCTGTACCTCCGTTATCCGCGATCGTCGATTATTATCCGTGCTATATTTCTTTTCCCATTGCAATTCTAGATAATAATTTACATGTTTTGGAGAAATTGTCGCTCAGAAGTTAATTTTGGTTGCAAAAGTTCGGGTGTTTCGTGATATCCAGGGGTTTCACATTCAAATTGTAAGTCGTCCAGTTCAAGCCTAACCTTACCTCTTGGTTAACGTTATTTGATTAGTGATTAAAAACATAATATGCAAAAACACACAAGATACATGTCAAGATTTCACTCAACTTCAGTTGTCTTCCGCTTTTCTGTGCTGCATGATGAGCGTAGTTTAACCACAGATGCATGTTCAGGTAGAATTGGGGTGTCACCCAGTTACACATTGTCTTCTTCCGTACAGATAATTGGTATCTTCAGTCTGTTTTAACAAAGACTTTTTCCTAATAAATCCCCAACATAACTTTGAGCTACTTTTTGACTTATTTTTCACAGGCGTTGATAGGGTGCGAATGCACTTCTGTGTCTATAGCAGAAAAAGTGCCGAAAGTTAGGAATGGGCAATCAAAAGAGGAAGTGCTATAGGAGAAAAAATGGAATTAGACTCGTGTAACTCACAAAATTCGGAGAAATCGAGTGTGATCCACTGATAGATCATCACTTGATTTTTATGATTGTGATGACTTTTATAATTTTTCCTGATAATGCGAGTAAAACGATAGTAAAAATATTATGATTTAAATATACTGAAAAGTTTTATTTAGATTAGACAATGGGTTAACTAGTGAAATACACTAATGCCTCGATTATCAGCAATTTTTTTGCTTTCCTTGGACCAACGAGGATAATCGAGGCACCAGTGTGGTATATTTATTTACTTTCACAGCAACGAGTGTTGCTAACGATCACGTGATATCAACAACCACTTGATAGTATTGCCTGAACTAACTGCCTTTGGTCCCGTGTGAGTCTAAATACACGCACTGATTGGT